CCAGCCGCAAACCCGAGCAGAAGTATCACCGGTAACTGACCTCGAGCCCGGTCCACAACCTCTCCATCTAGGACCCGCACCTGGAAAGAGGTCCATCACTTCCTTAACTTCGGAGTACACCGGCAAGAAAACTCGATTGATGCCACTAAGCCCGCCTCGCCAGAAGACTATGCAGTGGCAGAGCATTATTGGTTCGGGCCTGACAGTCCGAGACGAATCTCCTTGGGTACTTTCAGAAAGTACTACGATTGTGACCTAGCTGGCCCCGTCGCGTATGCGTTCGATCTTCTGGAGACCGCGGTGTCTGGGCGGTGCGCCAGTATCCGATTGAGGACGCTGACAAGATACTGCGGATTCTCCGCTCTATGCGCCATGAGAACCTGGCCTCCATTTGGGAGTGTTTCCGCACTCCCGAGCTTCTGTACACACTGGGGGATTTTGACCCTCTCGTTCTGGCTGATATCGTCGCTTGTAAAGCCTTCCCAGACGAGCAGGAGCTGGCGGCCATATTGTCTCAGGTTTGTTCCTCATTTTCTTCCACCTGTCTGCCACCTGACAAAATGACTGACTGGGCCCAGTTCGTTGACGGGCTGTTATATCTCGTGGGGAACAACTTCCATCACACATCTCTGGACTGTTCTAGCATCATTGTGAATCTCAATGGGCAGGTCAAAATCGGTAATTTTATTCCATTTCTACCTGCAGACAACCCTACCTAACGAGGCACGGCAGCACGGATCGATTGCTGTGTTTTCCGGCAACAGGGCACAATTCAAGCCAGTGACTTGGCACCAGTCTCGAAAATCATGATGGAATTGATGCAGAAATATGTCAAAGAAGATGGGGCAGTAGGAATTGATAATCTCGACCGCTGGAGAAGCTGCCCGGCTGCGATCGAATTTCTCTGCGCAACGACCTCGGCAAGCACTTTTCAGGAACTGAAAGAAGTTTGTTTCCCTCGGAGTTTTTCCATAACGGTGCTTTCAAACGGTACTAATAATATCTAGCAACGACTGTTGACGGAAATTCCATGCCGCCCAGGGAATCTCATCGGACTTGCATGGTTCGCGTTGATCTCCGCTCGCACATTCTACTCATACACGCCAAGGCCCATGAAGAACGATTAAAGCAGAAGTCAAATTTCCATACGGGCACCCCTACTTTGTCAGCCACAGCAGCAGTAATATGACCGATGAAAAAAATTCAATGCATGGTACGGTAATTGACGATCTTCCTGTTCCTCACTGTTCAAGCTTTTGTTCTGTCTACTATTAGATAATACGCGTTTTGATTTTGATAGAAAAGAGTTGTATTAATTGCATCACCAATCAAGGTCTAGCCGCTGTTTTTCAGTGTAATGCTTGGCCCCGGTCATTCATAATGACCAAGTAGGTCATTTAAATTGGCTGACCAGGGAGATTCAGGGATCAAATCGGCAAGTTTGTCTGTCGTAATCGCATTTCAATTGCCCGAACATCACATTTTTACTACTTTGAGTGCGCAGAAGGCAACTCCAATTAGCATCATATGCTCGGGGCTACTCATTGCGTTTGCTCCATGCGAACTCCCTATCATTGAATTACTCCGGCTGGTATTCCAGCTCCGAAAGCCTCACACCATGATGCAAAAAGCCCTTGACGGTTTTTCGGATCTGGTCTCTAAACCTGCCTGCCGCTGAAACTAGAAATACATTAGTATACGATAGAATAGAGACAGGCTGCGGTAGGGTCACTCACCCATCACCAAGGTCCGGCCTTGCTCATCGCGAATGTTCGGTAGCCTCTCGATCTGGTCTCCCGATGCCTCGAGCGAGATTATGTTGTCATAATCAGGTACACCTTGGTAAAAGCAGGCTCTTTCATGTTTTCCTATTGGCGTCTTATCATGAGCAAGCCCTTTTTCGACGTAGATTGAAATGCTGAGAATCTGTATACGTATTTTCGTCAATACTAAACAAAGTTTCCATTTTGAAGCCGGTGACATACATAGCCTTTATCTATAATATCGTCCTCCAGGAGGGGGTTGAGCAGGTCCTCGGCTGCGCTGACCATTTCTAATTTGTTAGTGCTGGTGCTGGCTGACTGGAAACGGAAGGGTCTTCTCCCCAATTGATTCTATCTGCCACACCAAATGGAGCCGACGGACATGAAGTGTGCAGGTATTATAGCCATGTATCATCTTCTTCAGATACGGAATTGTTGCGGCGATCCCAAAACCACTCGCAATCAGTAGCACGGTTTCATACCCGTCAACAATCTCACTGGTACCATGTGGTCCTGTGAACATGGACAGGAATGGTACCGGATAGCCAGGAGCCCCAGCGGCAAGACTCAGTAGGTCTGATGTCATGCCACTGCGTGGCTGCACAAATAACTCAATCGTGTCATGTCTTCCGCGCGACCACGATGTGACTATGAAAGGGTGCATTTGAAGCCACGACCAAGATCCAACTGACGGCATCCACAGGTTGATATACTGGCCCGCATCGGTCTTGATAGATCGGGGCAGAACCAGACGAATCTGGGCCGCTTTTCTGAGCTTAGGATGTGTAAGAGATCCTTCTGGAGTGAAGGATACAAATGCCCGAGGAGCACCGTGGCCCGAAAATAGCCCGTTCGTGTAACATAAGTTGACAATCTCCAGGAATGTAGTCAGGGCCAGGGGCGCCAGCGGCACGTAAAGGTACAATTTTGGCAAGCGACTCTGATCTGGGAGATGTCGCCACGTACCATATACAAAGAGAGCAGTCAGAATTTGATGGCTTCGGAGGAAGACTTCATAGCACCGTCGGCGGAGCCAGGGGAGGGAAAAGAGAGCAAGAGCGGCTAAAGAGATCGATCCCTATCAGCGTTAGCCCTGTTTCATGAGGAGGAGAAGGAAACTTACAATCAGGGTAAACATGTTACGTGTTTCCCCGAGAGGAAAATTGAATTCCCGGCTCTAGCATTTTACAATCACGTGAAAAGACAGCAGAGCAACGGACATCCAACCTGATGCTTGGTGAAACTTGCAGCAAGTGCGCCAGGTAATACCTAGAAGATCAGCCAGGTAACCGAGGTGAGCGGCGGAGAGGGGAAAGGCAAGGTTGATGAGAGCCAGCTCCCCGGCCCGGCGGCCGGCCTGGGCGATGGAGTCTGTATGGAAGAAAACCACAATGATATTGACCACAATGTAGGCAAAATAGATGAGAACATTCAACCGGGACCAGGGGCCCCAAATACGATGTCTGTGGATGAGAGCAGGAAGTGTGAGGTGCCGAGAGATCATAACTGAACAGGCCTCGACCCAGTTAATCATCGTGGTTTGGGTCTGGATTAGGAAGAGAGCTAAAAAGCAGCCTCCAGCGGCGATTGCATAAATCGATGACCCATTCATCCTCAGCGGGGTCTTCAATTACAGTGGACCTTGGAGGAAGACATATGAGGGGAGGGCGGACCTCTTTTGAATGAAAGCCATTAGCCACGGCATCGCCATGTCCCTATTAGCGATACCTTGCAGCGAAGGCGGAAGCATCAGAAACATGAAGCAAAATACATCAGAGAGCCTCAACTAAGTGGCTCAGGGTCACAATTTCCCAGTTACTGCGGACATCAAAATTAACGAGCTGCCCTTGAGAGTGCTGGGAAGAGAGTGTGTCAGATAATGAAGGCTATTCCAGACTCACAAAACATCCCTTCTCGCTCTAAATCAATCAATCAGGATTTTCAAGAGCCGATAATGGAGTGAAAATGCCATAAGAATCAGGATTTTCTTTCCTTTTCTTCGGTATATTGTGAGCTTCTTGGCTATTCTCGATGATTCTGAGCGCACGACTTTATCTCCCATAATGACAAGTACATACATAGCTAGCACCGAAAGGGTGCTGCATGGAAGCATTCGCTTAAATATGGAGGCCCATAACAAGCAGTCTGAATAGAGCGGTGAATTGAAAGGGTGAGTACAGTAAGTTCAACGTACGTTCGAAGAGAGTCCGCATTGTGTGTGCTCAAGAGGAGGCTGGGGTTCGGCTTGGCATTCTTGAATGTGTGTTGAGTGGCGAAATCCACACCCCTTGCTTCATAATCATATTTTATGCGCCTTACTGGCTAGATTGACACTTGAAAATGTGCTACATGACATGACTCTAGACTTAACAAGTGCAGTCTGCCTCTGCATTTCTAGTCTCGGCATATACAAAAGTGTAGATTTCACCCCGTCTAGCTTCGTAAGAGGGCCACTCATTGCTCAATACTGATGGGGGACAATATTATGATAGCACATAAACAGAGAGAGATATTTTCCCTGCTCCTTCACGTCATTCATCTTAAAAATACGTCTTCTTGATTCTTCACAGCTCTAGGAACGGGCTCGTGGCTCGAGGAAGCGCGACTTAGATCCTGGGAATAGGATTGGAGGCATGCCGAATCACGGCATCCCTCCTCAGCCAGGGTATAAGTATTCAACGTGCAGTCATACCTGCTACCATCATAACCCATCGGACTCTCGACTGGCGTACACCCCCAAAGTTAGCCTGCGAAATGACTCCCGACAGATATGTGTCATCCACGGCCCTCGCCTCTGATCGCCATTCCAGGCGCTACCGTGAGTCTGCTGTGCACAATCAAAATATTCCTACTAACTTTGAATAGCTTTCCTTGAAGATCTAAGAGGGCATCAAGCAAGAACCCGATTCTATCTTTTATTTTGCCAAATTGAGGAGCAGGTATCACTACTTGAAAATCGTGAACGGAGTCACATTTCTGAACTCGAACGTCTGCGCAATTATTCATGGACCTTGTATCATGAGTACAATAAGGCATTGGGAGAGCTGAAGCAGTGCAACATGCACCAGTGATCTGGACACGGATATCAAAAAACTATTCATTGCGTCGTGAATAACGCTCTATTTGATGGCCATGAGGTACTGGCAAGACGAATCCCAGTTCTTCTCTCAAATTTCATCTTCTTCCAGAATCAATATAAGTTTTTGATAGACTACAAGCCCAGCCCAATTCTCGTCCTCAGAGGATTCGCAATTTATTAAGTATCCATGCGTGTTTTGCACCCTTCGTAATGGCCCTGTTCTCTTTGAGGTATGATCTGGTAGCTTCGCGAGGACTACCAGCATGGATCAACCATGTAAGCGGCGAGCAATACATGTCATCCAGAGAATTGACTTTGGCACTATTCTTCAGGAGAATTTTGGTGGCGCCGAGCGAGCCATACTCTGCGGCCCAGGAGAGAGGTGTTCGTTTATTATGATCAAGATCGTCGACGGTAGCACGGACGTCCAGTAGGCTTTGAAGAAGCGCGGTGCAGTCTCCCATCGCGGCGTAATGAATCAGCGACTTCTTATACGGGCCTCTGGGGTTAAATATGCCCCTGGTTTGGATCTCGTTTTGTGATTTATCGAGGCAATTCATAATTTCTTTGTTCAATCGGTTCTCCCGCATATTCTTCAGGTGCTCAAACTCCTTATCAATGATGCTCGTGGGAGTGTGCAAAGCCATTCAAACTTGATTATGTCGTATGAAGTCGACACTAATGGCAAGACTGATAGTCTAGACGGCACCCAAGCTGGTATCGGGCAGCTATAGGCATTTATCATAGGTATTTTTAAATAGCTGCCAAAATTTGAAAGTCGGCTAAAAATCCTGAAATTATTTTACTGCCGGTTTGAACGACCTAGCTTTTTATCAACACATTTCCATCTTGCGATTATCAGGCTATCGTATGGCATGCCTAGATATCCCGCTCTGGGTCATCACGTGCAGCAAGGCACTGCAGAAGCGTAACTATCTCGATGCCCCCCTTTTTCCTAGCTTGATCCACGGGACAAACACCATCATTGTCGGGAATTTCGGACTCCAGATCCGGCAGCTGAGCCCGTTGAAGGATCAGTCTTTTGTTGCCAGTGTTTGCTGCGTGCCACAGTACCGAGCGGCCCCTCTGGTCTCGCTCGTTCACCAGAGTATTGCAATTCAAAAGTAGAAGGTCTATGATATTATTCCTCACGGGATCCAGGCCGTCGTATGCCATGGTAGCTAAAAGAAGTGCGCTATTCTCCGCAAAATCGAGATATTTGACGTCGATGTGTTTGTGACTCAACAGGATTTCTATTGCGACCGGGTCGTCGTATATGACAGCCAGATGAAGTGCGGTGTATTCTCGGTCATCTTGAATGTTGATATTGAGTTGCGGGTCTCTCAGAAGCATCCTCAAGATCTCATGTTGTTGATATTCGAGGGCTATCAGGAGTGGAGGTTGAGATTTTGGACTTCGACCATTGATATCAGTATCATATCGACGAAGTAGCTTTCGGGCGGTTGGCAGTCCTCCTTGCATGATAGCAAAGGACAGGGCGGCTTGTGTCCATTGTTTGTGGTAAGAGACATCTCGAGACTTGCCGCATGGCAATAGACCAACAAGACAAGAGGCTTTTTGAAGCGCTGATCTCATCAGACGGGTTAGCTGCCTTTGGTCGTCCTTATGCTTGAATAAGTGGAGGTGACTCACGACCTAAAGGTGGGGGGCACGCCATGTTTTAGAAAAGGATGAGATTATCGCGCTATTTTTTCGCTAGATGATTTGTATCTCAACAAAGGAGATCTCGTTGCTGTATCATGCGACAATTGATTCAGCACAAAGACATTCAAGGTGATATTTATAGTGAGATTTTATTCCGAGCATCTTTGACCTTGAGAATATTTGATCTGCATTCACATATTTTCACCTATGAACTCCCATAGTTGGTTTGCTCCGATTTTCAGCTTTACCTGAAGCTCATCCAATTATAATATAGATCGCTGTAGTTCCCAGAAGAGATCGATTCCGCAGAGCAAGCAATTGGCTCCCACGAATGAAGCTGTCATGGGCTAATGTATCTGTAGATGCGGATGGTGATTTTCGAAGCATCAACCGCCAAAAGTAGGAAACCACAAGCTGATCATAGACGCAAGACTTAGCGTGAGGCAACAGAAAAGTATTTAGCTTCTTCTTGTTCAGGGACGCACTGATGAGCCATGTGGGACTTGACTCTGCACAAATCGTGTATACTGCATGCCAGTCCCTGGCACATCTTTAACATAGTTCCCAGGAGCTCTGCGTGAATATTGCCTTGCGCGAGCTCAAACCTGGTGGCAAGGCAAATACTCTACAGGGAAAGAATGACTGTTCGCCTCCTCCTGGGATATAATAAGGCTCCCCTGGCTTTGAACTAAGCGTCGCCGTATTTAATGATCTTTATTTCGCCATCCGTGCCCTCTTCTGACCGTGACACGTTATTTCAATTCCATTCGTCATGACTTCCGAAATATATTTCCAAGCCCTGTTAATTACAATGCATCTATTTGCTTTGGTTGTCAGGCTACTTCTCTTATTCGTGTTCGGAGATGATTGGCCATTTCACAAGATGGACTTGGCGCTATGCGTTTTATCCCTTCACCTGTCCGCCTTATTGGCAGGGTTGTTTTGGAGCGAGAAACCATCGCTGTGGATTGAAATTCTTCTTGGAATTCTTTCAACGATTCCTTCTATGCAAAATGTTTGTTATAGCTTAAGAAAAGCCAATTATATGCTAATACTGGCCTAGTTTCTCCGGATTGGTTTCCAGCAGCTCAATAATCCATTCATAAATCGATCGACGCATGTCGTATTCAGGATCTATGCTTTGACATCAACGGTTTTGAAAATAACAATTACATTTATTGGATTATTCATGCTAGGTGACATTCATTTCATCACTCCCTTCCTACTTTTCTTGGATCATCTGAGTGAAATAGCATGGTACCTGTGGTTAGTAAAAGGTGCCACGCAGGCCCGGAAGAAGCTGCATGTCATCTTGACTCATTTATCAAACATGGGTCTTATCTTGCTAGGAGTCGCTATCTTTGGCGCGATTTCAAGAAAATGGGACACTGCACTTCAGGTGATTTTCCACCATTTAAGCTTACATCATGGGAGAGCTGACACAAATTAGATCCAGCTCATCATTTTTACCATGCGGGCGATATACAGCCAGGCTATTGCGTGAAGTGCAATGAATAGCTTTTTGCGCATCACTGAACTAAATTAAGTCATTCCGGAATACCTGGAAATTCAAATTGTCAATGATGAATCAATCATATTATTGGCTCAATGAGAAGTATTTGTAAGTGGGTCGAAATGGCTGTTTAGCTCGGTCGTGGGTTTTTTATGTAAGCTGATTTACAGAAGGAGATTGGTACATTACGATCAGGCGGGGCGACAAGGGAATACATCGTGGGATGAGGATCTACAGATCAGGAAATAAGCCGCGGCATCGAAATTAGCTCCGAGATGTCTATATAGACAATCAAGTTGATATTAAATTAACTTGGCTCCATATTTTATATGTAGCCTCATATTTCCTCCAGAACTAATAACACCATTCATACCTCTAAACAGCAGAAATCTATTCCATTGGGTCAAATTGCTCATCCGGGCAGTCTTATCCGCGTGACAGACTAAAATCGTTGATGCATTCGAGTCATTCATGGCACCGAGTGTCCTATTATTTCTTGGAATATATCATTAGTATCAATAGCATCCAACGAAAGCATGTATATCGACGATCACAGGCTTCCAGCCTTAGGCGTCTGTGGGCATTCATGGCTCTGATTGGCTTTGCAGAGGTACCCAGTTTCACATATCCATTTAAGTCACGGGAGTTTGATGTGAGTATTGCTGACGGGCTATGGTAGGTGTGATGGTAGATGTGATGGTAGCCCCAGGTTCCTAGAAGCTCATAGCCCAATTTGGACCAATCGTTTCTCCTGAGGCTTTATGGCAGATGAGAATCTTCCATGGCACCGATTGGCTGATTATTCCTCATTAGCTATGGTTCTATTAGTAGTATCCAATGATCACACTAATATGCACGACCCACAGCCTCCTGGGAGCCAAGGTCAAATATTAGCCAATCATGTCAAAGACGATGTGTGAGAATGTGGGCCATCGATGGCACTAATTGGCTTATATTTCGCTTATATTTCTAACTACTGGTACCCAGCCTCCCACACCCACTTCGTTCCCAGGAGTTGATGTAGGTGATGCCTTGGCAAATGGCAAAGACTCGGCTGATCGCAGAGGTTTTTTCTGTAAAGACTGAATTGACCTAATATGTAAATGGCACACTGTACAAGTGACTGTGTCGTGAAATGGGGCTGCGCGGATCAGTCCCGTGCCGTACAATAGCTTAGATCTATTTGATATCGTGTAGGTGTGACGCATTTACGCCGATATGTCAGGTAGGCAATGCCGAACCCCGCGGTTTGGCTTGTTGAGATCTAGGGCCTCTGCCTGTCTTTGATGGGGTATTCGTTGCGTGGAGTGACGGGCTCATCACCGTTGAGATGAGATGGCATGACCTCCTCGCCTCACCGGTCGCGATAAAGGGCGGACTGACGGTTGTGAATGTTGATATTCGTCGTTGTTTCTTTTCTGTGGAATCCTCACGACAGTTTGCATGATGCCAACAGCCAGAAAATCAGTTTCATGCTCTGGATCACCAGGCGCGAATCCAATGTCTCTGAAAGCTGCTTTGCATCAATGATGAAATGTTGAGCCAGTGATCATTGAAGATTATTTTGTGTTTGAGCCCTCAAATTTTACAAAGATCACCGCATCGACGTAGGCAGAGTGACTGCCTGCAACACTATAAATACCAGGCCCCTCGCCAGTATAACAGACGTTCGCAAGCATTCCTTCGTGATTCTGGGTGAAAGAGTGTCAAACATGATTCGTCTCCACGGCTACTCTTCGGTATGGATTGACCTCCAAATCATGCAAGGAAATGAGCTAACCTCTTACACCGCAATAGCCTAATCTTTCTCAATAATCAAGTCTTCGAACAGTGAGTGTAGCTGCCCAGTCATTTGGAATCATGCTAACGCGGAAGATGCTCAATATTAGCCCCGCCTCCACTATTCCGCTGAGCACCCATTGAACAAATCTTTCAGGATCCCGAATGGTCCAAGCTGCAAGCACAGTGAGTTATAATTTGCCTTCATAAACTGCCTAGTGATGATTGATGATAAATAGATGTCATCTACAGTCCCCTTGGCCTTTTCAGAATGCAGTGGACAGCAAAAGGCGACCAGGTAAGCTCAAAAACTAAGCAAAATTACGAGCAGATATTATGTGCTGACGGCCACTTCGTAGAATAGCGAGCTTTCTATCACAAGTCGCTCAAAATGTAACTCCCGTGAGTGCTTTGCCCCTACCCATTCCCAACACCCGGTACTTATCTCAAATGAATGCTATCCGTCCATGGCTCTCTGTTCCTCAGAAAATAACGCTGATGATTCTTTTTCGTCATAGAGGGAGCTTCAATTTTACACTCAACCTAGGCGAGCTATTCTACCCCTCGCCCTCGGAAATAAATCAGATGCACCAGCCTGATGGGCTAAGCCACTGAATCCCACTACGCTTGCGTTTTCTTTTCCCTGAAGACGTGGCTGGCACGGCCACTTCACCTGGCGCGTTCAGCGAT